GCGCCCGACCAATTATTGTGTTTTATTCAATCGATCCAAATTTTATCTCCTGAGACTCTGCTGTAAATTCAATAAGATATTCAAGGTGTAAGGCTTGATAAAACCATTCCATAAATAAAACCTTACACCTTCAGTTTAGCCACAAGGTTATTTGAGACTTGATATTGTAGAAGGATCTTCATCACACAGTTATTGGACCTCAATAACATGCAAGCCTCCCTGAGTCAAAGGCATCCCTGTATATGCCAACCCTGTTAATTCCCTTAAGAACCAGAAACCCCATATTAACACCAGGACTTCCCGCTCAACCCTCTATAACTTGAATTTCTTGAGGACTTTGGGACAGATTTTCTGGGTGCAGGTGGTACCTACAGCAATTTCACCACCCCATAATTAATTCATTCTGCAATTGAGCAGTCAAATTTGCTAAAAGATTCACTTTCAAATTTCCCTCTACCCCGAAATTTGACCCACATAGATATGAATGATTTCAAAGGTAGAACGTTGTCTTGCAATTTGACCACTTCACAATTTTACCGTTTAGTCCAGCAACAGATTAGGGTTTAATAATTGCTGAGCACCACCTGTGATCAGGAGCAATAAAAGCAATGAAAATGTGACTCAATGCTAATTCCCCTAATTCAAAAAATCCACCTGCATAAGTTGATTTTATCTACTGGTCCCTTGAAGTGTGTGTGACTCAAAGAGTTTCAACTGTACCAAAGGTTTTTTTTTATCTAGGTTTCCATGGGTGTCTTCAATTGATTTAATTTATTATTTTATTTAGCTATTCATTTTTGAATTCACAAGAATATAGTTTTAAACCTTCAATATATGTACCATGTGGTACTCCATGAAACATAAAAACTGTATAAAACTTATTTTCTGAATGAATAGCAAAGAAGATAGTGACTCTGTATTTTGGGCGTCTATTTTTCAACGAAAATTTGCAATTCAGCCAGGAAAACATAGAATTTGATTAATTTGTGTCTGAGGTACTATTCTTTATCGCTCCCAAATTTTCAATGGTGAAATTAAATTTTCATTTAAACTTTCACCCAGTGAAGATATTCAACCTTGCCTAAAGTTTCTGGCGCCACAGTTTTCAAATTCATGGAGAAAAACGGCGTCTCACAAGTAAATACGGTATTCTGGCGAAAACACAGTAAACAGTCTGCTGATTAACATAATTAGACACTAATGTTGAATTTTATTTTCAGACATGTGCTAACAGCTGCTCACTGTGTCACGCGTCCACCTACAGCCAGATACTATGGCACAGCCTTTGACGTTTTCATTGGGGACTTGTCATCTTCTGCTGTAAATGAAGTCGGAGAGCAAAAGTTCACTGTAGACGTTTCGTCTGCGATTATTCATCCATCCTGGGTTTATCCTTCGGCCCCTGTATATGTTCACTACGACCTGGCCTTCCTGCCTTTGCCAAGACCGGTACAGGAAACTGAGTATGCCAGGCCTATCAGAGTGTACACTGGCTTGACCTCAAATGACCTCAGTCGCAGGAGGATCATTTCATCAGGCTGGGGAATAACTGCGGAAAAGAACAATGCCCCAGGCAAGACATTGCAAAAAAATCCACCTATGATCATATTCAAAAACATTGCTTAAATTTTAACCTCTTCAAGTCAAAAGTTTGAGGGACCAGAAAAAATTTAAATTTGGCAGATCTTAAGCAAGTAAAACCAGCATGTTTGCTGGTGGAAAGAGAGAAGAATTACAGACTATTGTAATTGGTAAGATTCTGGGCCTAAAATTGCAGTTTAAATGAGTTGATGGGGGGACAAGAGGTCATTCCCCCAATTAGTCCTGCATTTCCTGTCAAAATCCATACACCATATACATGTGTATTGCTTTTATATTTACTGTGTCAATAAAATAACAGTAAAAAGGGTCTCCAGAAAGATTAAGTTAGAGGGGGACAGCCTCCAAATCAAGGAGAATTTTAATGCATCCCCCCCCCCTTCCCCAAGGGAATTCAGCCAGGGACTTCAAAACAATTTGATATATAGGGATGAGGTATTTGACTCCAGGATGTTTGAGTTGTTGAGGTTCAACTTATGTACTGTACTTCTTAATTTCTAAAATAGGAGGAGTCAGTCTACAACAAAATTCAGGGGACCAGAAATAAATTGTTGCAGACAATGTCATCACAGAGACCCCTGAAGGACTGAACAGATTGTTTACATAAAAGAATTTATTGTGAACAACACTTTTATAGAGAGTCTACCTGCATTCATAAATTTAAAAAAATATATCTGATGCCTGAATGTGAGCATCAGCACTGTGACATCACAGTGCCATGTCTTATTTAAAACCAAAAAATGAATGTTACTGTTAGAGGGATAAAGCTCAATTGATAAAATTTGATTTGTCTTCTTGTTTCAACAGCTCATGTAACAAGTATATGAAAGAGTGACAAAGACATGATGGCCAACAAGTCACTCATGAAAGTGAATACATGTGGGTCTAAATTGGAACCAATTTTCATGGTCACTAATTTTCAAAATCTAGTCATGAAAATTATAGAGCCCAATGCTTGTTTTTTTCAAGTCAATTTGTTGAGGCAAAATTTTGTCACTTATGAAATTATTCATTATAGTTTGTCATCTGAATTTATTGAGTGTCTTTTTACATGCTTAGAATACTTGTTGGCTGTGTACCCAAAATGAGTCCTTATTTCCATATACAGTGGCCCCCCGCCTAACAGACCTCCTGTGTAAGGGGTTTTTGCCAAACAGACCAGCTCTGCAAGCAGTTTTTCCTCCCGCCCAACAGACAAAATCCGCCAAACAGACTTCTTTTGGTTTAAAATTAGTGTTGAAAATTTAAATTTTTAATTTTTTATGTAATTGAATTCGTGTAAAGGACTTTTTGTCAAACAGACTCGTCCCTTGCATGAATCAAGTCTGTTAGACGGGGGTTGACTGTACAGTGTTTACAGATAACCGCATCCCAACATCCGTTTTACTTTCTGATTCTGGTTCATGACTGGTCATTCCCCTGTTTGTTGTTGAATCTATAAAAGAGGTGCCCAAGCACTTCTTTGGTATTCATTGTTTGTCAAGAGTCTATTGAGGAATGTTGTTGCTACAAAATATAACTCACGTTTTGGTAAGAGAGGATACTTTTCATTTCTTGAACCCGGCTGATAGAGTTAATGCTTCTCATTGAAGTTAGTTCTAGCTAAAGTTTAAGTTAAGTCTGAATCTTCTGCAAAGAGACGTCAACGCGGTTCATTTAATCTTGGTTTAATTTTGGCAACATAGGATAGCAATATAAATTTACTGTTTGATGCATATATACAGTATTTTTAATGTGAAGTGTTTTTGACCCAAGAAATGTGTTTTGTTTTCTCTACAGTTGCAGACACTTTACAAACGGCGGATTTGGATGGAACTTCTTGTCGAAGTTCCTATGGATCCGAAACAATTTGCTTGGGGGGAGGCAATGAACAAAGTGTGGTTTGCGGAGTATGTATGATTGATTAATCATTAATTATTCATTGATATCAGTCAGGGTAGATCTGCGTGCAAGGAAAGTAGAATTTCTCCTCTGAGAAATGATACTTTCAAACATACAGTACAGCAAAATTTAAGAATCATGCCCTGGAAAAATATTTTGAATTGATAGAAGATCGTATCTATAATGACCGCATTTTTGGGGGGAGAAATCATAAAAATTTATGAACCTCTGCTGAAATATTCTTCAAGACATGGCAAACGCAGGAATATAAGCCCCGACATCAAAAACTGTTTGAGAGTGCATGTACTGTATTTTGATATATTTTGGAAGGTTGATCCATCCAAGATCATTTCCCATTTTTGCATCAGCGCATATTTTTATGACTCATCAAATTCCAGCAAATTTTTTGCATCATAAAGAGTAAAACTTCGTCTCCCCTGAACAAATAATTTTTTTCAAGGAAGCCTTGAATAATACATTTTTGATATGCCCAAGTAAACGTTTGATTACCAAATTCACACAATAATGCAAAAATCCTGAAGTTGAAAACATCTCTATCTTGTGAATTCTGTTTTGCTAGCATGCTGCGTAATTTAAATATGTTATATTATTATTCCTAAAAGTAAGAATTGCTCTGATTTTGGAAGTGAAACCTATTGATGGTTAAATATAATTAGTATTATATAAGCAGCTCTTCTTTTAATATTCATCATGAGACCAGTTTGGTTGTGTTGCTCAAGTTATTTGCTTATTCCTGCAAGTTGAGTTGTTGCTCATCAAGTTATTCTGTGTGAAATACATTTACTCCTTTAAACTAGGAAATTCCTACAAGGAATTCCTGGTCCTGTACCGGACTGATTGTTTTTTATTATCTTATCTTTGACGTTTGACATCAAATTATATTGAGGAGACATTTCCCCCCAATAAATTCCCTAAAGAACAATGTGCAATAAACCTCCCTAACTGCTAAAAAAAAGAGTGATTTTTCAGAGCATTGAACGGATATTTACTTTAATTTTTGCAGCTCATAATTCAGCCAAAAAATGTATTCTTTCTTCCAATGACAGGGTGACAGTGGGTCTCCATTGGCAATGGACATCAAAGGAGAAACAATGCTCATTGGGGTCACAATTGCCGGTTACTGCGACACAAGTTCAACAGTGGAAGATTCCATAGGAGCCAGTGCGTCTTACAAGCCTTACTTTGATTTCATTTGCACCCAAGCTAGTTGTACAAATACGCCAAAATTTTTGTTTGTGAAGCAACTCTTTCGCCTTTTGACCTTGGGTTGAAATCATGTCTTCCCAAGAAATCAATGGATTAATTTGGGATCCTTTGGAACAAAAACTTGTTCACTCTGGCATCATGTCCATAAAATTTGATGAACTATATTTCTTTGCACTTGGTTCAATAAAATGGAATGGTTGCACAATATATTCTTCAAGTTAATCCATCATCACTGCAAAGTATTGATTAATGACCAGAAAGTGATATGATTGAATTTTTCCAAATCATTTACAGATGACTCCTGATGGGTAACAAACTTTTTGATTTACAAACTTGGGGCTGAAAAGAACTAGGTTTATTGAAACACGGTTTTTTGGGGACTTGCTGCCATCAGTGTAATATGCGCCTCAATCAAGGCAGAAAATAATGGGGTGGAAAAACCGCCCAAGGATAAAAACTGGTAAACTTGAGAGCACCAGAAAAATATGGAAAATTCCAGAACTTTCCATCTAGGTTTTATGAGCTCAGTGTTGTCTTCAACTCTGGTTGTTCTGGCCAATCACAGGCCTCTAAAAATTTTCCTGATCCAGAGTAGAGGACTGGGTTAAGGCCAGTGGAACAAAATAATAAATTCCCCTTTTTAATTCATCATCATCATGAGTCTGTCTTGAGCTGTAATTGGAAACAGTTTTTCCCTAAAATTTGAGAGCTTGCTGAGAGCTTTATTGGTGAGTTATTTATGTGTCTGATTGAACTTGTTCTTAAATTCCTAAAAAACTGTTGTGACAATTGAAATATATTTTAAAGTTAACGTAGGGATTCTACTGAGAAACCCTGGCCTTGTCCTGCAAAATGTGTTGCTCTGAAATACTGTACATGTTCTATTGCTGTTGGAATATGAAGGAATAAAACACTCTCATATAAAATCTCTCCTTGGAGTATTCTTTGTCTTCTTTGGAAGCTTGTGGAAAACAATTTAAATCTTTGAGACAAAGTCTCTATATTGGTAGAAGAATTTATTCTCCAGGAGAGAAAAATTTCCTGATCAACAATATAAAACCAAGAATAAATTTGTTTGTGCTAGTTTGAGACCGCAACACGTAGTTAACTTGAATATACAAAGGCAGTTGAGGGAGTTCTACAAAACCTAAACAGTTGTCAAACCCAACAGCACAACAAAATATTCCTTCCTCCAAATAGATATTGCTAATTAAAAAAAATATATTACCTGACTTGAAAATGCGTAAAAAATCTATGCAGCATTAAGCTCAAAATTTCATCAGTCAGAATGATTTGAACTAAAAATGCGAGTATAGCAGTGCTCAAACATGATCTAAAAACTTTAATATAAAAATGAAAGATAGTTCAAGAATGATGAACAACTTTACAACAGCTAGATACCTCAAATGTAATAAAGATACATCACTTTTATTGTCATGCTTTCCTAAAAATTGTCATTGTGAATCACCAGAAAAAATATGAACAGGAAAAAAATAAAACTGATCATTTCCATCTGCACTTATTGCCTGATGCACTAAAAAAAATAAAGCACTGTGTACATCACGGTACTTGACACTGAAGTCCTACATAAAGGAATCTTGAAATGTCTGGCTGGTTCTTGAGTACTCTTCTCAAGTTTAAATATAATTTTGACAACACAGGTATCTTGGTCTTCTTTGCAGTATTCATAGAATCTTTGCCAATATTGACATTCCGACCGTGACGCATAAAATGAATTGAAAAGTTGAAACAGTTGAAATATGGACACCAACTTCTGAGAAAAATCCTGCTTGAACTCAAACCGTTGATTTGTTAATTAATCGCAAGACGGAATAAGTTTTGAAAAATCGTGATCAATAGAATGAACACGTGCGTTTGTATATTTTCCCCACTTCAAACAAAAAATAAAATAGCAACTGCTGAAAATTTTCAAAAGTTTCACTTACTGTACAACGCTTTCTGAAACCAGTGAACTGTGATGCACTTGAAAAAAATAAAAGATCCTCGCGAAAACAACGCATTTCTGACTTTTAAAAAATGAAAATTCACTCCAGTTTCTTCGTGAAAAACAAGCTGGAAAAACAAAAATCACTGAAGCTCCATTCGCACACACCATCGTTTCTGCCAGTTGAAGTTTCGTGTTACTGTCGATAACTTTTAAAAGAAAACGAATCCCTTGCATAAAAACGCGATGAAATTACTGAAGTGCGTTTCGGCAGTTTTCATTTTGGTCTCGCTCAAGTGCATTCAGAGCAACTCACCACCTCAACAAAACGGTAAATCATTCGAGTGACTTCGGAGTTATTTGATGATTTTAATTAAATTTTTCTTGACATATTCTCAAAAATAGACAGGGTTGCAAAACCCGTGATCGTGGCAGGAACCACTGTGACCGACAGAAAAACGAGGCCTTACTTGGTGAGACTGGAAAATCCATTGACACACAGAGCATTTTGTACCGGGACTCTCATCTCTTTGACGTACGTAATATTTTAATTCGACTGCCATGCTGTTTCCGACAAATTCTAAAGCAATGAAACGGAATTTAGGCCGAGAAAATTATTTTCGGGGGAAACATGGCATTTATTTTAATTTATAAAATTCACCCTGACGATCCTGAATATTTTCAGGCATGTGCTCACAGCTGGTCATTGTATTTTTCTCTTCCTCACTCTGGAGAGGTTTAAGGGATTATCATTTGAAGTCGTTGTGGGAGACTTGTCATCTAATATTACCAATGAAGTTGGGGAACAAAGGTTTCCGATTTCGCCTTCGTATGGAATGATTCATCCACTCTACAATCACACTGGCAATCATGCACCATGGGACCTTGGATTACTGCCTCTGCCCAGACCAGTACAAGAGACAGACTACGCTAAACCCATCAGAGTTTACACTCTCTTGGAGGGAAACAATCTTGCTGGCAAAACAATTATAGCTTCAGGATGGGGAGGGAACAGTATAACCAGCAATGGTATGTGCATGATATACAGTGAGACCCCCACATGCGGACACCTTGACCTGTGGATGATTCGACATAAGGACACATATTTTCCCAGAAAAAATGAATAACTGAGGCCTGACATGAGGACACTGACTCAACATAGGGACATTTTGTTATAAAATTTCAAATATATTTCAAGTTAAATTACAAAAAAAACAGATATGTCCAACCCAGCTAAAATTACCATCCATTTAGCTAATTTAAAAAAATTACATCCAGCATAGACTAAGGGACTTCTACTTTTTTCCCCTTGAATGTTATTTTTGTAGATGCCAACATTTCAGTGTACAGTGCAGAGATACACTATTCAATGCTCCAAATGTTCTTATTGAGTTTAAAATTTATTCTTTAATTCAAATTCAAGTGGCAAACAATTTTTTTCAGAGGATTCTGATCTAATTTCTTCCATAAAACACAAATTAAGAATTATATAATGTAAGTCTATGGGAAAACAAGACTCAACTTAGGGACATTTTAACTTGGGGACACTCTTGATGCACCAATTATGTCCGCATCTTGAAGTCTCACTGTACAGTGATGAGACCCAAAGATGCTTGATGCAGTGACATTTTCCTCAAGTTAGAAGTTCCCCATGTCAGACCTCATTTTTCCATAAACTTCAATGGGAATATTTTTAATTGGTTCTCTAAAGTATGAATAGTTGAGAAAAATCCTTTGAAATTGAATAAAAGGATTTATTTTCAACTTTAAGGTATGAATCTATAGAAAATAAATTTACAGAAGAAAACAACACAGAATATGATCTTTTGTGACAGAAAGAGCTCAGTATCATATAAATTATACATGCTGCAAAGAACAAAGTGGAACTGCATGTGAATAAGCATTCTCATGGTTGGTACAAAAATACTGCCTCATTCAAATTTGAAGTTCAAGAGGTGGGTTGATTGTCTAGCGCAATAAAAATGCTCATACATCTGAAAAACTGTAACGGTTTTAAATTATTCTCCATTTTCTTCAATACTTATGTAGTACTGTAAAAAGAAAAGTTAACAAAGTAGTTCATTGTAATGTATACATGGTAATAGCATTCTCACAATGTCCTGTTTCTATGAAGTGTTGTGAAGAGCATGCTTTTAAGCAATTGATTCTTTGTTTGATTGTTTTTGTACACCCAATGAACAAGGTAATCCCTGTGTATGGGTCATTTTGCCACATACCTGCATGATCTACAGCAATAGAAAACTGTATACAGTACTCAGAAGGCTCAATTTCCGAATGCATTCATTATTGGTTGGGAAGAATCTGTGATTAAAACTGCTGGAAACAAATTTTGGAGCTGCTCATGCTGGGAGCTTAAAATTAATGTACAGAAAATGTACTTATTTGCACACTCCCCAAAAATATTTTGACTTTTTAAATTGTGCAGTACATATTTGTATACATAAACAGAAAAAACATTCATGTTCTGTGCAACAAAAAATTCCAAAAGTTTTTCTACTTCTGCTGCATTGAATTTGAATGGAAGACCAATTCAAAACTATAATTTTTTCTTCTGCAGGCACGTCAGTTACTCTTCAAACTGCCGAGATGGATGGAGCTGATTGTACCCCACACAAATATGGACCTGAAACTCTATGCTTGGGTGGAGGCAATGAGCAGAGCGTCATATGCGGGGTATGAACCTTATTATGTATTTTTTGCTCATTTGCTCTTTGAGAGGCAAAAAAGTGGAAAAAATGCCTGCTTTTCACTCCTGTGAAAGTTCAAGTTCCAAAAAAGGGGGAACAGTTTTTTGGGATCAGATAACACCAGACCAGCAAATTTTTGAAAATCTTTTAACTTTTCTCTAAATTTTCAAGGATCATATCATCCAATTTTCAGAGTATTTGAAAGCTCATGAACTTTTTAAAAATTTATACTTACACCTGCAATCTATTCTGAGAAATTTATATTTTCCTTCTGCCTTTTACTGTGTTTTGGTGGAAATTACTATTTTTTGATGGAGTCAAAAAACCCCTTCCCCAGTCCATTACATGAGTTTTTACTGATGGGAATATCAGTTCTTCCGCCAGATTTTGAATGTGTTTGCCAAACAATTCTGTTAAAGGGAATACTTGAAGAAAAACCAGCTACCCTCACCATTTTTATTTGTTCATATTTCCTTTCTGTGTTCATTCATGAATAATTTATCCAGGAGGATTCATCTGATATTCCTTTTTAATCTAATTATCAGACCCACAATTGGGTGTTTTTTTCTCAAAGGTATGTACAAGCCTAAAGCGTCATATTAACCCTTGGGCAGCGGTGGGTTCTTTTGCATTGCAGGGCAGTGCCAGGAATTTTTTGCAATATCCTGCATTTCAGTTTGACTGGAGGTCACCAAAATGCAGATTTGGCTGTGTAGCTAAGGTTTGGAAAAATCCTGCAAAAAGAAAGTCATTGTCCTGCTAATCCCCCAATTCTAATCCTACAGCAGGAATGCAGAAAACATGCTGCCCATCATACATAATTTTTTCCCTGCTTTTCTAGCAAAATTTTCCGCAGGAATGAAAAAAGAAAAATTGGGATTTTCCCCAACTTTGGCTCTTCTAATCCCCCCCCCCCCATTTTTTATAATCCTTGGGGCAAAAAAGTTTCACAGAAGAATCCTGGCACTGCTGCTCAAGGGTTAAGGAAAAAAGTATGGAAGTTGCTGGTCATTCTCAAAATAAAAATTTGCAGAAAGTGGACAAGCTTTAATCACACATCTCCAATTTGTTTTTATTGGCAGGGTGACAGTGGGTCTCCAATTGTGATGTACATCAATGGAGAGCCAATGCTTGTTGGGGTGCATACTGCTGGTTATTGCGATCCTGATTTTATTGAAGGTTTTGATTCTTTGGGAATTACTGTGTTTTGGTGGAAATTACTATTTTTTGATGGAGTCAAAAAACCCCTTCCCCAGTCCATTACATGAGTTTTTACTGATGGGAATATCAGTTCTTCCGCCAGATTTTGAATGTGTTTGCCAAACAATTCTGTTAAAGGGAATACTTGAAGAAAAACCAGCTACCCTCACCATTTTTATTTGTTCATATTTCCTTTCTGTGTTCATTCATGAATAATTTATCCAGGAGGATTCATCTGATATTCCTTTTTAATCTAATTATCAGACCCACAATTGGGTGTTTTTTTCTCAAAGGTATGTACTAGCCTAAAGCGTCATATTAACCCTTGGGCAGCGGTGGGTTCTTTTGCATTGCAGGGCAGTGCCAGGAATTTTTTACAATGTCCTGCATTTCAGTTTGACTGGAGGTCACCAAAATGCAGATTTGGCTGTGTAGCTAAGGTTTGGAACAATCCTGAAAAAAGAAAGTCATTGTCCTGCTAATCCCCCAATTCTAATCCTACAGCAGGAATGCAGAAAACATGCTCCCCATCATACATAATTTTTTCCCTGCTTTTCTAGCAAAATTTTCCGCAGGAATGAAAAAAAAAATTGGGATTTTCCCCAACTTTGGGTCTTCTAATCCCCCCCCCCCATTTCTTATAATCCTTGGGGCAAAAAAGTTTCACAGAAGAATCCTGGCACTGCTGCTCAAGGGTTAAGGAAAAAAGTATGGAAGTTGCTGGTCATTCTCAAAATCAAAATTTGCAGAAAGTGGACAAGCTTTAATCACACATCTCCAAATTTTTTTTATTGGCAGGGTGACAGTGGGTCTCCAATTGTGATGTACATCAATGGAGAGCCAATGCTTGTTGGGGTGCATACTGCTGGTTATTGCGATCCTGATTTTATTGAAGGTTTTGATTCTTTGGGATTGTCAACCTCTTATGGGCCGTATTCTGAGTTTATATGTCCTCAAGCCAATTGTGCAACTATTCCAGATGGAAATAATCTCTTAGAAAAGTATGAATTTTTCAGGAACTTTGTTTTACATGTTCTTATGCAGCTGGGGATGCATGCATGAAAGTGTCCTTCAATCTAGCCAGCATCTTTCAGTACAATATTCCATTGAGAATGTTTGGAACTGAACCTTGTTTCTTTGGAAATTTGGTGAAGAGATTGTGTGACCNAGAATGTTTGGAGCTGAACCTTGTTTCTTTGGAAATTTGGTGAAGAGATTGTGTGACCCATTTTCATTGTCATCTTCAACCATTGAAAAGTTACAAGTCCTGTATGTGGAACAAGATGTTGACTTATAGCACAATAAAAGCTATTGATGACCATTCTTTGCATCAGTTTCATCACCACCTGCACAAATAACCCATTTGCAAAAGATTAGATTTATGGCAGATAATCAGTTTCAAAGTAAATTTTGCCTTGGATCCTCCACTTTGCTTTGACTGTAATGTTCACAGGTTTTCTTGATCTTTCATTCATCCATGCCTGTAATAGGAAAACGAAATTTATAACTAGTTGAGTGGTTCTTGTTTTGATGATGTTCAAAAAAAATTCATTTGACTTTGAGATCCAACATGAAAAGAATCCTTACTTTGACCCACTTTATGACAAACAAGTACTCTTCTGTTTCTGGGAAGTTAAAAAGTACATAACATGCATCCAATTATTTTGAACATTTTTACACGTGTCTGCATGAGAGTACCGCTGAAATCATAAAGATAATGTGCAAGCTTGTTCATCAGTTTGAATGATAACCAAAATCAATGCTGAAGCCAAAAAGGTAGAAACTTGAGCATTGAAATGCCTGAGTATATTGTCACTTTTCAACAAATTCATTCATATAACAACACCATAAAAAACAAATCCAACATTGTAACAAAAACAGGCACCAACCAGATTTGACTTATTTCACTGCCTCAATTTGAATTTCATTCTCCTTGGCTTCTCCCCTAACACGGTCAACATTTTCAGTGTGAGTTGCAGCTGAATGACTGTGTTAATCAGCATGTGTGATTTGTTCAAAGAATACTGGCTCTACCAAAGTGGTCTGATGCTTTTGAGAGACCTCAGCTTTGTCTGCATCAATTGCATCTTCAGCAGGTCCAGGCCAAAGTTCTCTCACTGAATCCAAATCACCCTTGATCTTATCCCTAAGATGTTTTCCAAATGATGGGAAAATTCTGTCAAATTTCTTGTGAGTCTTAGAATAAGAGTTCCTTGCACTGTGTTTTGTTTGATCAAAGTAAGTCCATGATTTGCTGGCTTCTTCTGATTTTGAATCTAACCCTGACCATGTGTATGACTTCTGGTCCTTTGGTTTTTGAATGTCTGATTCATGTGCTTCTGCTGGAACATCCACTTCAGACTCTGATTGTTCTGTTTTCTCAATTTGTGGTTCAGGTTCAGGTTCAGCTTCTGGTTCAGGGTCTGAATCTGCCTCTTCCTTTGTGTGACTTTTGGATCCAAAGTCAGATTTGGCACCTTCTTCTTCCTTGTGATCATCTTTCAAATCAGAAGAGATGGAATCCAATTTTTCCTTTCTATTGTACCGTTTAGGTCCAAATTTTGCAAATACTGAATGTGATTCTGAATCTGAATCTTCTTCTTTCTTCTGATGATTGGATTCTGAGTTTTCAATTGTGGGTTCAGGTTCTGTTTCTGGTTCTTCTTCTTCCTCTTTTTGACCTCCTGGCTCATTTAAAGTGGTGGTGGCTGAGTCATGCACATCCTCAACATCTTGTTCCTGCTTTTTCTGACCTCTTGGTCCAAAATTGGCAAAGACAGAACTAGTTGGTTCTTTGCTGTAACTATTAGCAATTTCCTGTTTGAATTTTAGACGATCTGAGTAAGATGGTATCTTGATTGGTGTTGTGGAATATGTATTGCGTGGATTCCAGTATGGTCCTCTTTGTGGTACCTGCGGTACTCTAGTTTCTATATCCTCCTCCTCCTCCTCCTCTTCTTGTTCTTCCTGTATTTGTTCATGTTCTTGCCCCTCTGCATCAACTTCTTCTTCTTCATCTGCTTCAAGTTTATCTGGATTTTCTTCTTCTTGAGCTTTAGCCACAAGGTATCTGATTTCCTCTTCATCCAAATAGTCATTGTCTGTATGGGCATCAGGATGGTCTTCTGGCTTTTCCTCCTTGATTGCAGAATATTTTGTTGGCTGGTTTGGTCTCTTTTTTGGGCCAAAATTTGCAAGACTAAAGCTGCTACTGTGTTGCTTGTAATTTGTGCTGACTTCTTTGCTTGTTGAGCCAGAGTCAGGACTGTCAATTGTTGAGTGTTGTATGTATGTTTTTGGTTGATCTCTGTACTTTGGTCTGAATGACTTCAAGAATTCATTTGACCCTGATTGTTGATATTCTTTTGATGATGATCCTTGATAATGTTGCACTGGTTCCTCATATGTTTCTTGTGATCTTGAAGATGACTTGTATTGGTTTTGTACTTTGTATTCCACATCATCCCTGTAGGGGTTTTGAGTATATTCTGAGGAACCTCTTGGTTTGCTTGAGGGTTCTGTATAAGTTGGAGCTGCAGGTTTGTATTCCTCAGCACTGGATGACTTTTCATACACTTCCTTTGATTCTTTCTTATAGTGTGGTTTTTGATATTCTTCTTTTGAATCAACATATACAATAATGTCTTCCACAGATTCAGATTCATATTTTTTCTTTTCTTCTTCATGGTACTTTTTTGGCTCAGTATACTGTGGCCTTTCCTTCCTCAGATCTGGTGCAGGCACATAGTGAAATGGGCCTGAGTTGTACTTCTTTTGCTCCTCAAAAGATTTTGACTCATAACTTGGCTTTTTTGATGGCAGTCCAAAGTAAGTCACATGCTCATTGCTTGATGGTTTCTTGAAGAAGTTCTGGTACTTTGGTTCTAGGAATCCATGGGTTTGATGCACATGCGGAGTGTAGGTTGGTTTGGGAGTTTTCTCATATGACTCACATGATTCTGATTCAGGCTTTTTGTAAAGAGGTGGTTCATATTTTTGTTTGTATTCCTTTTCCTTTGATTCTGAGGATTCTGATTCAGGCTTTTTGTAAAGAGGTGGTTCATATTTTTGTTTGTATTCCTTTTCCTTTGATTCTGAGGATTCTGATCTATGCTCTTTGTAAACAAATGGTTCATATTTTGGTTTGTACTTCTCTTTTGACTCTGATGACTTTGATTCTGGTTTCTCATAGGCTGGCTCTTGGTACTTGGGCTCTTTAGCTTCAGGTTTTTCTCCAGAATCAGAATCTGATGAATCAGCTTTAGGTGGGCCTTGAGGTGGGTAAATTGGCAATGAAGGGTAAAACAGGTGAGGCCCTTGCTTTGGATACACCTGTTTGTATGCTGGAACTTGGTACACCACCAAGGGGTTTGGATATTCTTTTGAAGTCTTTTCTTCAGTGGTGTCAATATGGCACCATTGTAGTTGTGAGGTGGGAGGAAAGACGGCTGAATCAAGGGTGATCCAAAGGTTGGAATGGCTGGTGCTCCAATCCCTGATGAAGATGATTCAATTATTGGAATTGGTGGTCCTGGTCCATGGCCAGAAGAGGATGATCCATGGGCATGTACTGGTGCTCCATATGTGTCTGCTGGGGCACCATATGTTTCTTGTGGAGCACCATATGTTTCTTGTGGAGCACCATAAGACCCACCACCACTGCTACTGCTTCCATGGTTTCCACCACCACTGCTGCTGCTTCCATAGTTTCCACCTCCAGAAGATGATGAACCACCACTGCTACTGCTTCCATAGCCTGGTGACCCATAAGTTGGGCCATAATGTTTAAGCAAGCCAGATAAGTCAATTGGCTTTGCCACCTCCTGCAACAACTCAATCTTCTTCTTTTTCATTCCATACTCATTTTCCTTGCGCTTGGCTTGGATGTCTTTCAGCTTCTGGACTTACTTGAGAAGCTTCTTCTGCTTGAAGGCAATTTCTTTGAGCTTCATCATTTCAATTAACTCCAGGCTGCGTTTGGTTCTTGTGAGTGTCTCAGAGGAAGCTGGCAGTTGTTTGGTCTGGGTTGAAGACAAATGAAATAAGAGTTTGGCTTTTGGAAAATTCAATTTAAAAAAACAGTGCAGTATAGCAAAAATAATGCAAGCAGAGAAGTTTAATCTGTCTTTTGATTACATAATTCAAGGCTCAAAACTTTTGGATCCATTTCATTTATTTATTCAGTTGAATGGAAAATACATCAGGCAAAAATGACTTGATGGAAGAATTCCATTCTATTAAATATCATTCATTTAAATTCCATTCCATTTAATGTCATGCATTGAAATTGAATTCAATTGAGTTTCATTCATTCAATTCAATTTTATTCATTGAAAGTGGCAGTATACATAATATTTCCATTCATCGAAGTTCCTTCATTCAATACAATTTCATTCAATAAAATTCCTTAAATCAATGCCATTTAGTAAAATTTTCTTCATTCACTAGAATTTTATTCAATGGAATAGCCTTCAGATAAATTTCTTTGCTCAAAATTTAATTTGCTAATGTTGCGTTAAGTCAAACTGCATATATTCAAATTTCATTCATTCCGATTTCCAGCAATTTTATGAATGGAAAAACTCACAATTTTTGGATCTGCTGTGAGAGATGTTGCACTTGGAAGGGGAAGCAGAATCTCGCCCAGCAAAAAAGGATGGACAATGCTGGCAAAAAGCATGCATCCTTGAAGCAGCCCCATTTTGTCCCCAGTGCTAATTTTGCTATTTCAGATTTATTTTCCTTTCGTGCACAGTATTATTTTGCCTGCAAATAAAAAAGCACTTCCTGTGAACTGTTCTATGCTTGGAAGAAGTTTGAATCATGAGGCATTCAGAAAATCAAATTTGAAGCTTATCCTGGAAAATTGTTGGTAGACATCACTATACTTCAGAAACATAGCAAAATCCCATCGGTCAAGAAATCTCATTTTATTTATTTTGAAGAATTGCCGTCAATTTTCTTTACGTATCTTGTACAAAAATTTCTAGATTTCTTAGGAGAGCATTCAGGAAAATGTTGACGAGCAATTTAAAAAGAAAATTGAGTTTCATTGCAATAACTAAAACAATGAATGCATAAAAGCTATTGTTGTCTTCCAGAATAAATTTCCAAAAATGCAGAAATTTTTAAGTAATTTTGTGAGTTTTTCGTTTTTATTTTGAAAATCCAATTTATTCAGCTGACGACAAAATAAAAAAGAAATCACAAAATCTAAAAAAATGTTTGTACAATTTTTAATTTTTAAAACAGTTAATCAAATATGAATCCAGGTGTCGGTGAAGCATACGAGAAATAGCCACATATTGGATCAAGTTTTTAGAAATCAGTCCAAACCACACAAAAAAACAAAATTGTAACTAGAGACATAATGAAAATTTCTGGATTTTAAAAAAAACCCGAGGCCTAATTTTGTATCCCTTCATTCTTCATTGGTTTTATTTTTAGTTGTCTAAAAATCCTTGTGAAGTTGATTGGGAATGCGAAAATGGACGCGAATTTAAGTGATTCCTGAGCAATCAAAACAATAATAAAGATGAAATGATAGGGTTCATTGAATTGAACAACTTGAAAGTCTGATTTTAAAATTTTATAAATACGGTAGATCTTCTCAGAAATTAAAAGCCAAAATAAATTATTCAATTAAATAGTACTCTTACTTTTTTCCTGTCTATTGTACCAAAATGAAATTTCAATTTCAAACATTCACTCAAATAAAATAAAAACGAAAGTATGTACACTTCTGCAAAAGCCTGTCAAATCTAATCACTTCATTCCTGGAATTTACGAAGGACATAACACAAATTTCTGCCGAACGTCCGCATTTCATTTGCAGAAATGATAAATGATACTATATTTTCAAAGCATGAAAGCTTGCATTTATTGCCTAAACTTCAGTACGAGCTTGGTTGAAATCAATTCCGCTGAATCGAACTTACAGCTGGTAACTGCATTTTTTTTTTCGGCGGAAACAATTACTGTATTTCGTCCATAATAATCTTTCAAGAAATTTCAAGTAAAACCCGTCGTGCCACTTCAATTAGTATTCCTTTGTTTAATCTTCCCTAAAAATAGAATTAAGCTGAATCAAAATTAGGCTCAGCATGTGGATAAAATAAATATTTTATTTGCGGGCTTCTTCCATTGAAATAACAGCCTGACCGCGGACACTGGAATAACATTGGGTTACATCACTGTGGGTTCCCCCGTATTTTTTTTATTTCGGGTTCTTTCGGGGACATGTTCCACACAAAATAACTTTCTTCCTGTTGAACTAGAACACTGCAAGTGAACCATGTCGTTGGGATATGTGTGGGTTCTATATCCAAGGTCAACGACCACTCGGGAGCCCAGACAGGAACTGCAGCTGGACACTGACCAGAACCTTTGGTTTTGAAGCCAGTTTTCCCAGTGACGCAACCCATGGGGTATGATGGAAGACTGCAAGTGCCAAAAAAAGCTCTTTCACCTATCCAGAAATCTGGGGATTGTTATGATGATTGGCTTGGTGCCAGGAAGCCGGTGTGGGGAGGGGTTTTTTATATTACGGGGGCAGTGGGAATTGATTTGACACAGCTTGCGTAATTTTTGATAGGTCCGGTTAATGTGGGGTTACAGGTAAGGAATTGAACACTAAACCAATGAACATTTTGATTTTAAGTTTTTTTTTTTTTTTTACTATTTCATACTAATGTAACTATAAAATATAGCGGTGTTCCCAGACCTATTTGCAGGAAAGATTCTTCAGCATAATACATGTATCAAATTCAGCAATGAAGTCTGTTATATTTATCTGAAATTTCAAAAATGCAGACAGTACCTTGCAATTTGACCATCCCCCAATTTGATGGTCAAATTTGCAGAGAGGTTGACTTGCAATTCAACCCTAGCTCTGCAATTCAAACTGCTTTGGCTGCTTTCTTCATATTTTTACAGACTTTATTGAATTTTACCAAGTGTCTTGCTATTTAACCCTTGGGCAGCAAAGTTGGACTATTTTTGCAAAATTTTGTTAAACCTCAGGGCAGAAAATAAAAAGAGGGCAACAGGGATTTAAGGACAAAGTCCGGGAAATATCCGATGTTTTTTTATTTTTTCACAGAAAAATTTCTTGGGAAAATGAAAAAATCCCATGCTAAGCAATGGGCTTTTCTTGGATTAATCCCAACTTTGCCTCAGCCCACCTGGAAGGTCTTTTCTGACCTTCAGAAAACTTAAAATGCCACAGCATACAAAAATAATCCGATTTTGGCTGGCAATGGGAAAGAACCCTCCGCAGTCCAAGGGTTAACCATTCTGCAATTTGAGTCTATTTTGGCAACAGATTAGGGTTGAATTGCAAGGTACCCCATGTAAAATGTGAGAAACTAAAAGAGGAAAACATTTGGCTCCAAAGAAAAATGCTGCTTCTGCGTGGGCATGAGAGCTTGCGTAACTGCCAAAAAACAGCAACAGCAATAAATTTGCTGTTGCCTGAGTTATAAACCAACACAGAAACCAGGTCATAAAAAACCCAACTTCAACACTCTGTTTTAGCATGAGGAGCAATTGCTCTCCTCATGTTACACATGAGAGGGGTGAAAACAAAAACCCCAGGCGGCTGGGAACTTGAGATTGGGTCTCCAACAGCCCAATTCTGAGAAAGAAGGGATCTTCCCCCTCCTCAACACCCTGAGCATTCCTCATAGGAATGTGCATTTTCCACTTTGGGGAAATGTGCAGAAAAAGGCCAGATGTTGCTTAATGACTTGGGAAAACTCTCCCAAAAGTCAAAAGCACCTGATTTATTGATCACCTTGTTAACATCAACGGCAACCACCCTTTTTGGACAATTTTACCCATTCCTGCCAATTATTTGCGCAGGTATAAATGGGACCTGAGGTCCCAAGATAAGCAGCAGACCCTTTTCTGAAGGAGAATATGCCAGATGGACATCCTCAGCAATTGATACTGTGTTTATGGACTCTTTAAGTGAATACCCTGAAATTGTTGTCACAAGTTACTTCCAGTTCTTGTTGTATTTGAGAAGAAATTACAAGTTGCGCTTGTTTTTTGGGATTGTAAATCCCTCAGGTTGATTGCGCACTGACCAATTGATGTGTTTTACTCTCTTGGTCAACCTCTAACCTTGCACACTCATTCAGGATTGGGGTGCAACCTTCAATTTTGCACATAAAACAGCAGTTGAAATTATCTGATGAAAAATAAAAGTTTCCTTTTCTCTTAATAATGCTTCAGACAAATTTTCACGTGCAAAAGAAATTATTGAAATTTTTCATTCTGAGAAACCTTTCATCAAGCCCAACTTTCTAATTTTTCGAAGACATCCCACTAAAGCTGCTTCATTGGTTAACTTGATCTTTGAAAAAGCAGCAACTTTTTGAATACCTGCCAAAGAGTCCTTCAAGCAAATCTGTTTTTAATCTGCAAAATTGTTTTGGAAATTTGCCAGTCCACTAATAACATTTGCTGATCCACAAGCCAAAAAAATTAGGGAATACTGTTCTATAGCATGCTTTCCTTTCAGGATTCATTTCCTCTGATGAATAGAAATAAATTCTTGTATTTTTCAGAGGGTATACTTGTATTCAATGCCAATCCTGACACTTGAAAAACATCCCTGATAAGCTTTGTAAACTTGCCTGCAGTGTTGAGGCAATTCAATGGAATCCGCATTAAAGGTTCTCTCAAATTTCTGAAATTCACTCACATTTCAGGCCAGTGATGGAAATAAATTTAATTTTTCTCTCCTTCAAGAGTTTCCCTTGAATTTAAAAATTCAGTACTTGAAGCAGTGCAGCTGCATTTCATCATCTGCCATTTTCAGGGAAAAATCTAAACCAAGTAATTTTTGCAACAATTTAAAGGCGCCAGACAAAATTATCGACGCATTTTTTTGTGAGCCTGAGAACCAAACCCAGGTTTGGTTCCAAGGCTCACCCAAGGACATTTCCTCACTGTAAAAAGGAGAAGAATGAAAGTAGCAGAAATCCAGCCTTCATTTCTAATCCAAAGAGTTGTTCAGGTTAACTGAAAACCACAGTCCTGTCACTCTGCTTTTTGCTGCCAACCCAGTTGGATCTCAGGAGAATCTGCTCTTGTGCAAAATCACCAATTCCAAAATTGGTTACAACAAACTGTTGAACTTCTTGCAAAAAGTACTTTGACTGATTGTCTTTACTGTCTGTTTGTATTAAGTACTGTAATAGAACATTTCATACTAGGACAAAAGTCCCAGCCGAAGCCTGGCTGTATAATTGAGTTTTCATTTCTGCTGACTACAATTTCTCTTTTCAAGTTTCTTCAGGTTTTCTAAGTCTTCAAAACAAACTTTGTTCTTTCCGCCTTTTGTGCAGAGGAAACAGTTTTCCCTCACAGTCATTGTGGAGTACAGCTCTTCTTCCCATGTTTTTTTCTGTAGTGAATTTTGCTTCTTTTACTCAATTACGAACAATTAAAACGGTATTTGCGAAGAGTAATTACTCAGGTGTTCACTCAAAAGAGCTCAGCGGCAATTTCTGCTTATGGCTGTCACTTTTCATTGGGGAGTTCCCGACTCGTTTTCCAGTTAGGAATTTCTTTCCATCCGCATTATTGGAACGCGGAACCAGAACAACTATTCTTTCCTCGTTAATTACCAACTCTCCCCGGAAGCCCCGAATAATACATCTTCCCTAATTACCACTCCATCATTATAGTCTCTGAAAAATACGCATGAAGCCCACTTTGATGCGTCCAACAACCAAATAAATGCACATGACCCCTTCCCCTCAAGAGAACAAAGATGACAAGATGAAAAAGCGTCTGACTCAGTTTGTATATAGTAAAGTCGTTTTACTGATGGTGGGTTAGTTGCTGAGCAGGAAGGCGGGAACCGGAAGAAAAGTGGAGCGGGTTGAAACGGAAACCTGTGAGCAACTGAAGAAAAGACAAATTTAATTTCTTGATGATTGTGCATGTGACCTTTGCCAAAAACATACAGCCAGTCAATTTTATTTTTAAAAAAGAGTTTGATCCAATCAAATTTGAGCAAAAAACATTAGTAAAGATTCTTTATCAACGGTCTTTCTTAAACTTGCTTGGAAGCCCCTTACACATAATGTTCAAAATCTTCAATCCATACTTTTGATAATCAAATCAAAATGAAAGGAATTCTTCATACTATTCATGTGAAATACATTTTGCTCTCATATTTCTGGGATTCTACTGAGAATCCCATGGCCTGTTCCCAGGTGGATTGTGCCTCTGAATTATTTGCTTGAATTGTTTTTATTCCTTATGGGCCTTTGCTGTACATTTGTGTCTCTCTACTTATTGAACTTCCTGGAAAACCCCTTGGACATGATGCTAAAAATCTGCAATCCACACTTTTGAAACTGAAATCAAATCAAAAGCTTGTTTCCAATGACTTCTTCAGCAGACTTGATGCATTGAAGCTGCACTGCACACTTTCTGGGGCAAATAATTAAGATGAAAAATCGTTTTCAAATATTTTATTGGGTCTATGGCATATCTTGATCTTGCTGGAAACCCCCATATGTAGATGTAATGTTGAAAATCTGCAATCCACACTTTCAAAAATGAAATCAAAATGAAAACCCATTTGCTCATTCGAAAAAAAAATCTAGTAGAAAGAATCATACTGAAAACCCCGTTTCTGGTTTCAAGTACGACCGTTAAGTTCAAGCCTTTCTTGTGTGTAAATGTTGTGACCTGCAAGCGACACCTAGATGAAATAATTCGATACGCAACAAGGATTTTGAGGGCACTGGCCGTGCCTCGCACTGTGCTGGATGGCGACTTGTGCAGAACCAAAGAGCGCCCTCTATTACTTAGTTTCATGAATAAGGATGAGTATTTCCTACATTGAACTTCAAAAATAACTTTCTTTGCACCTACAAAAATGCTATAATTTAATTAAAATATTGGATACTGAGTAAACTTTTGTAAATTTTCTGAGGAATACCCTTTGAAAATGTGAAAGAAATGGCTGTATGGCTGGTTTTGAGCAAGTTCAAGAAAGACAAAAAATCCTTGAAAAGGATTTTGCATCTCACTTTAGCCCCAGAAACCTTACAGTGAAGCTTCAATGCATGGAATCTGCTGCAAAAATCATTGAAAAAATGTTTTTACTTTGATTTCATAGTCAAAAGTGATGATTGCTGATTTTAAACATTATCTCCAAGGGGGTTTTGATAAAAGATCAAGACCAACAAAAAATCCTTGAAAAATATGTTTCATCTCAATTTTACACAAAAATGCCTGCAGTACACCTTCAATATACACGAATTCAGCTGAAAAAGTCATTGAAAAACGGCTTTCAAGTTGTTTCCACTTTCAAAAGTACATGCCTTTTTTAATGCGTGAAAGAAATGGCAAATTGTTGATGAATGGAATTAAAAACTGGAAAATTGCCTCATACTACTAATGTTTTCTGGTGCCCTGCAATAGCCCACAGTAATCTCCAGAGGTTTTTTTTTTAATCAAAAGGATCGTATGTTGCAATGTGACGTCTATCA